AAAAAATACTTATAAGCAAAATATTACTTATAAGATAAGAAAATTTACAATATAATTAAAAAAATACTTTCATGTAAAAATTTTATTTATAAAATAAAATTACTGCTAATAAGAGAAAAAAATAACTTAAAGAGTATAAAAACTTATAAGTAAAAAAATTCCCTTAATATTATTTTAAGGTATAAAATAACTTATAATTGTAAAATTTATTTATGAGTAAAAAGTATTTAGATTTTTTAAGTAAATATATAACTTTATTTATTTTTTAAAGTTAAATATTAACTTATATATAAAAAATTGTTCATAAATAAAATATCACTCACGAGTAAAAATTTTTAATATGAGAAGCTGTAAACTGAAAATTTTCTAAAGGACATATATGTAATTATGTATATTTTTAAAAATATCGTAACCATTGAGTAATAAACTCCCAAGCATAGGTTGAACATTTGGAAAAAAAAAAACGCTGTACGTCGAAAGTCCGAACAGGCCCTAAAAAAAGCGCCTAATGGGAGGTAACTCATTCTTTATCCTTTATCTGTATTTTTTCTTTATTAGATTGAAATTAGCTAATACATCGTCTTCCTCAAGATAATTGAAATGTCCAACTTTGTTCATATCTTTATCTGAATCACATTTGAAAAGATCTGTAGTAGATTTAAATTAAGATGCTTTAGAGGATAATGGACAAAATTTTACTTTGTTTTTGTTCTTTATAACACTTTCAATGTTGTCCACTAAGCATGTCCATGTTAAACGTGACATTAATTTATAACAATTTTAAGTTGTGTTAACTGGATTTTTTCAAAAATATTAAAAGACATTCCTGGAAAGTTATTGAAATTCTTAATTCAAATCGCAAAAGCTTTACGGATAAAACCAAATTTTAAAAGGTTTCACTACTGTGTTTTTTCATTTTTCTTTCTCAAGAAAAATCCATGTAGTCCTTCAGATTGTACAAATCATGTCATCCTTTCAAATATATATATAGCTAGTTCAAATGCTGGCTGGTGGTGCTGGGACTGTAATGCAGTTGTCAAGAGCGACGGGCAAAAACGTATGATTTAAAAGCGGCTCTTTTGGCAAGCAGATTTTGGCTATTTGATTAACAACTTGGCAGCACGAAGCGTCCACTGGAAGTCCGAATACTGCTTTAAAGATCTCTTCGCAACCTTCGATACCTATAAGAGCTTCCAAGCACGGCAAAAAACCTTCCTCCATCAGTACTGAATCTGATGGTGCTCCAACAGTAGAAAATTGAGGATGTGGTGTGGCCGCAACATGCATTGAACTTGGCACAGCTGATGTTGCCATGCATACAACCATAAAGAATGCAAATACTCCCTTCAAGGTTACTACTTCAAATGCCATAATATTTATGAAAAATTTAACTTCTTAGGAGATGTATAGAAAATGAATGAGTGGGGAAATGCTGTTAGAAATTTGTAAAAAGGATTATCAACCAAAAACATTATCAAACCCTAATCACATACATAAATATACGCCATGTTGAAACCAAGAGAAGATTAATGGCGGAAGCATACCTTGATCCATATTTTTTGATTGCTTGAACGGGTTATGATCTTACAATTGATACGTAGTCTCCTTCTGAATTTTCTCTGTTGATGGGGATGCAGAGATATAGAAAGCCACGTACAATTGAGAGACATGACCTATGAAATA